CTGCCTCCTTTAATCTCCCTCAAAGCCCAACTCCCCGTCCCACCACAGTATCTTTCATAACTAAAGACGCCTTTAAGAAAAAATGTTTTAACTTGTTTTCACTACTATAAAGAGGTAGTAGGAACACTATTTTTGAGGACAGTAGTTATTTAGCAAATACTACAGTGTTTATATGTATGTTGGAGCGTGTAATGGTTTACAGTTCAGTTTGGAGTTAGGGTGCCTTTGTTCTAATCCCGCGCGCGCCAGCGGCACCTGGGAGCCGAGGCTGCTCTTTGCCCTGCGCCCCACCGGCTCTGTAGCACGGTCCCCTCGCGGGAGGTCCTAGGCCCCTTGGGGACGCTCCCCGTTCGCACTCCCTTTTCCTTGCTGTCTGGCGCGGGGGGAGCGGTCTACGAGGACAAGGCAGGTGACCCTGGATTTGGTGGCGGCGGGGCCCTCTCACGACCCCCAGGCGCATCCTAGCGCGGCCACCGTCCTCCCGGTTCTCCCCGTCGGGGCCCGAAGGAGCGGGCCTAGGCCCTGTCCACCTGCCTTCTTCCCTGCGGCGCCGGACCGCGTGAGAGAGAAGCCGAACCCTCTAGAAAGTGTGCGCAGCCTGACCGGAGAGGGGCTCCAGACCCATGGGAGACCCCTCCCAATCAGGGCGCCTCCTGCTGCGTCCCTTCGGCTCTAATCCTGAAGGTACCCCAGGTGCACCTGCGATGGTTTTGCTCCCAAACCGTCACTCTGTCGGCGTCCTCTGGGCTCTGCCGGCGCGGAAGGTTCCAGAAGATCTGGGCTCTTGGAGAATTGTGGGCAGATGAAGCAGAGGGTTGCAGACGTCTGAGCGCTGAGACGGCGCAGGTTGGGGCGAAGAGGGTTGGCCGGAAAATTCCAAAGGCTCAGGCAAATCACCGCGTGGGCGGGCGGCTGCGAGGGTTCCAGAAGGTTCCAGAACCTCTGGGCGCGCCACGGCCGGAGTAGAGAGGAAGTTTCCCGAATGTCTGGGCGCGGAAGGGCGGGGCGTGGTAGACTTTCTGGAAGGTTTGGGCACTGAGAAGACGGGGTGGGAGCAGAGAGGAAGGTTCCAGAAGGGCTGGGCGCTGAGGGGAGGGATCGCGAGGAACGGCAGCGCCGAAGGTTCTAGCGAGTCGGGCACTGATTCTCGGGGGAAGAGGAAGTGAGCGGAGCAGAAGACCTCGGAAGGTCTGGGCACTGGGCTGGTGTATGGGCCGCGGAAGGTTCCGGAAGGTTCCAGAAGGTTCCAGAAACCCGGCGCTGAGGGGCGTGGGGGCGAGGCGGGGGGAGCGG